AATAGTATGTGCTTATTTCAGCTACTTGGTTTCATAAAGACTCAGTAAACCTTTTACTACTCAAAATCATCTGACGCTTTGTTGAATGTCAGGTAAACCAGGCTAATGTGATTTTGAGGCATTGAATCATGAGTCTTTATGAAACCAAAGAAGCACATGTCATTGTCGCAATCACTGTATTACTGTCGGGATCGTGTTATATACTCATTTCAATACGTCAAAGCCATCTCACGTCTTGTTGAATCTCAGCTAAGGCGGGATCATGTAAATATCCCCTTAAATTGCCTTCCTATTCCCTAATCTAACTTTTAATACTTCAAAGAGCCTTTTCAGGAAAGATAATGGAAAAGATGAAAATCTCGTTCTATTCAAAAGGTTGTGGGTCTGAACACACTCTTATTAGCGAGCTAAAGGCTTGGTCACACGATCCAACTTTGTCAGATCCAATTCACTTCTCACTTTTGAAGTTGTTAATACTATTTCAAAGTTATAAACTTACAATACCTGCATGCTCAAAGGAATCCCAGTTGTTTCGCTGTTTATGTACAAAGCACATTGCAGCTGTAGAAAATCCCAATCTTCCTATAAATTGAAGAGAAACATTCTATTTTTTGCACAACATATCAACTATCAACACTCATTTGTGAAACATACAATAATCATTTGAACTTTGGCACCGCCTGAACGGTGTTTGCGAAGGACATCATTAAGAAATATAATCTCTGTCAGTTTCATGGTAACATCATCTTCATTGCTGTAGAAGAAACATTAGATTCAATTAAATAAGTTCCAGCAGGGGTAATATAACATACTAACTTTATTTATACTGCATGGATATAGCTCTATAAGTTCTAAACCGTTCTTCCTAGAGGTCCAGTAAGGATCATCTCTTATTGATACAATGTTATTACAGGAGGAAACCTAAACTAAACTAACTTTATTTATACTGGATAACTCTATCAGTTCTAAACTGTTCTTCCTAGAGGTCCAGTAAGGATCATCTCTTATTGATACAATGTTATTACAGGAGGAAACCTAAACTAAACTAACTTTATTTATATTGGATAACTCTATCAGTTCTAAACTGTTCTTCCTAGAGGTCCAGTAAGGATCATCTCTTATTGATACAATGTTATTACAGGAGGAAACCTAAACTAAACTAACTTTATTTATATTGGATAGCTCTATCAGTTCTAAACTGTTTTTCCTAGAAGTCCAGGAAGGATCATCTCTTATTGATCCAGTATATTACTACAGGAGGAAACCTAAACTAAACTAAAGCTAAAGATTATTTATACCAGATCCAGTAAAGATCATCTCATATAACACACTGACCTGCCTGCCTTAAGATCGCTGACAACAGATGGTCTGATGCAAACTGGGGGAACAACAATTCTAGTGAGAATAAGATCTTCCGGTCGGGAAATACTGGGTAACATTCCAATCAATGGACAATCCTAAGGAAACATATGAAAAAATATAATGAAAATTATCGTCATCCTATTTCGTACAAAAAATATATTGGATGCATCATCAAACCTCATCAGGAACATCTTTGAAAATTGTTAAAACTCTCAATGGATTTAAGATTTCCTAAAGTGAAAAAAAGAGAGCAATAAGCAGTCAGTGAAAAGGCCTGTTTACTGCTTTTTTAACTGCTACAATCAGATTCAAAATTGGAGCAAAATTGCAAGTGTGCAATACATAATGCCCTTTAGCTTTTTTTTATTAGATAACAGGCCATTAATACTTTGTTTGCCATCAAATAATGATTCACCTGAGCTTTTTTTAATAATGGTTCCAGTTCTTTATTATGTTCAAGAGCATTTTGAAATGAGGCATGAAACTCTGAGATCACCGGATGCAAAATCTTCTTTGTCGTTTTATATTTCTCATGAACAATTTTCATCATTCCTACTTTCTTTACATTTCCTACAGTTCAAGGAAATTAGATATGGCAATTAAGATATTCAATAATCTTACAGACATAAAGACTAAGTTAATCCTAGTTAGCCTTAAATTACCAGGCAAGATGAATATTTAATAAAATTCTTTCACTTCTGAAAGTTTTTACGAAAAAAATGGTTTCTCACCGTTAAGACTCTCACAGTACGGGCATTGCGACAACTTGCGACATTTTGTATTGACTTTCTTCAGTATTCCTTTGCGTGCGAGATTACTAAGCGCAGGACGGCGAAGAGATTCCAACGTTGAAATCCTGTCATCTGGTGTCAGCAAAACTCTACTGCAACTCTGAAATAAAATTGGACATGAAACAAGCATTTTTACATGGTTACACACAGGAAGAGTCAAACATGAAGCAGTTTTGACAGGTACAATATAGAGGTTCAGATTTGCAAAGCTGTTCTTTCATTTAGAACAGATATACATTTAGAATTGCTGCCTTAAAATATACCACAAGAAACAAGTGTGTTTGCAAAATACTGGGAAAGTCAAACGTGAAGCAGTTTTAAAAGATGCAAATAAAATTTAAGTTAAGAAAGAGCTCCTAATTCAACAAGTGGTGTACCATAAAAGTATACCTTGCAAACACATTGAAGAATGGCTATTGTTGCCTTAAAATATCCCACATGAAAGACAGGCAATTCAAGATCAATAAATCCAAAGTGACCAACACAGTCGGCAAGCTGTTTCCCGCAGGTTGTACAAGATCGATCCTTGTTGCTGATACCCTGAAAAGGAGGATTGTCAGATACAACATTGCTTCAATCCATACAAGTATTAGTTGGAGGCTAATGATTCAGATTAATTGCAGAAGAGCAGTTGCTGATCATAGACAGAGCAAGCTCCATGCACAGAACCTTCCTGAATGCCAGAATCTATCCGCATATTCCACACCACAGATCCAGAAGCAAAATATTCGACATTACCAGTTGTGGATCCAGCACCCCGTACCCTGCTGGTTTCCTTGCATTCTCTGGCATGTACAGGTTCTTACTGACGCATTGGATCTGTGCATTTTTTTGCATGTGAGATGGTGAGAAAATTCCAAACTCCAGATGGCTTCTGAAATCATAAATAAAATTTGATAATGGGGATGAATTAATTGTCAATCTATCATTTTTAGGTTGTACATCATACCAGGAAATTCACAACATTCGATCAGCCATGCTAGTGATGCTACACACAGACTAGCTACCACAGTACCACACTACCACCAAATGTACAAAATATACAATCACTCGAAAATAATGAAATCAAATCTATTTTACTTACACTCTCCGCGCGACGTCTGTTTCTCTGAACTGTTCCTTCACCATGTTTGTGTTGGAAAACTACATGTTTATTCTAAAATTTAAAGGATTGTTTTTGTAACAAAAATTTTTGTTCCACGAGAACACGACCTTGTATATAATTCCAAATTTATCCCCGAGCCGGTGCGAGGGTATTAGTTCCGCGCGGAGATTAGGAATTACACCCGGAACCCGAGAGTACATAGCAGAATCCAAAGGGGGGTGCGACAGAGGGTATTTTACCCCGGACCCCAAACCTGAAGGGGCCTCCGACTTAAGAGTTAAGAAAGAACCTAAAATTAAAGCATCTTAAAAAATGTTGGGCTCGGTGTATTATTCGCACACTAGTCGAAAGTACGAGTGACAGTCATTGTTATTTTAATTCGGGTTCACTCGACCATGGTCGAATACGCCATTTTGGGGTAGACTCGACCAGTGAAATGAATATACAGTTCACTGGACTCGACCATGGTCGAATACGCCGCTTTCCGGTACACTCGACCATGGTCGAATTCGCATTTTGGGGTAGACTCGACAATGGTCGAATACGCCGTTTTCCGGCGGACTCGACTATGGTCGAATACACCATTTTTCGTTTTCGTTTTATTTTTAAAATCTCGAAAAAAAAGAAATCCCAAAAGAATCCCGAATTACTGAAAGGTTTGGTGTAGAGCTTTTCACTCAATTCAATTTCGTGGCCTTGGGCTTGCTGTGGAACGATGTACCAATTATATAGTTCAGTGGCAAAAGCCGCGTGAGGTCGGCTCGTCCCAGACTCCCACGTTGCTAAGCGAGCGCGTCGCTCTCAACAACATGGCGTCTTTTTATTTTGTTATGTTTCCATTGTGTACTGTTCTCTTTCTGCCTCTTCCTGTCACGCTATTCGAGATCGATTACAAAACGATCGAGGACTGCAGAAGCGTGAAGAAATTCTTTCAAATCTCGAACCTACAATGCGGGGAATGCGAAGACGCTAACGGTAAAGCCGTTTCAACTGATGGCTTATCGTGCACTTGTAAAAGTGGATTCAGAATAGAAAATTCACAGTATTTTGGCGGGCCAAAAGTATCGTGTAGCCCCTGCCCGCGCGATCAGGTGTCTTCCGAAGATAGATGGTTCTGTTTGAAATGCAATAATGGGAGGAAAAACGGCCGTTGTGAAGACTGTAGTGCGAATAAGGTAGCTGTTGAAAGGGATTTAAACGGCGGGAATAGAAATGAACAGTTGTGCCTTACCTGTGCGGCTAATACGGCGATTAATCCCAATGCAGGCGAGGGCTTTTGCAAGGTTTGCCCCTCTTGCAGTGTCGATGTCGAAGCACTCACCAACACAAAAGTTTTGGATATCTCTTATGATAACGACGTTGAAATAAGGAGCAAATTCCTCGAAGATCATTTTGCCACGGCCAAAACATTTTGCAAGGAAAAACAGAATTTCACCGCCTGCCAGCTGCTCGGGAATATGTGCGTTATGTTGGACTATAAGCAAGCTGATGATAACCCTTGTAAGGAGTATCTTGCCATGGTTAACAATCCCCCTGAAGGACAGGCAAAAGCCCGAAGCAAAGGGGGGCAGGATAATGCAAACTGGCCCATATATATGCCATGGTTGTATTACCTCAACAGCCAGCAAGATCCTGGCGTCGAACTCTACCAAGAGGATATTAAGATCAAATTCAAAACTGAGCAATCGTTGCCTTTCCTCGTAGCGGTTTATGCTGCGAATGGTTCTTTTGTTGGCTGAAAAATGATGTATTTAGTGAGTTACAAATGTGTAAGGATCGTGCGTCCAGGTCAAGCTGCCAACAAGTTTGCAACTCTTTACGAGAACAGTTGCGATCTAAATGTGAGCGATCTTTGGCAACGACAGGAGATGTTTTTCTATGACCTGTATTTCAAGTCAAGCAGTACTGGACTGTATGCAATTCCAATGGTTTTAGAAAATTACAAGAACAATGATGAGGACTCTTTTAAATCATGGAATCTTTTGCGGAGGTTTTTTCTCGTAGATAACTTAAGTGGCCGGCCTGCCGTGTCTGGCGACCCGAAAACAGACGCCTCTGCCGACAAGGTTATCCGGGTTGCAGAGATGCTTCAGTTGCACATTCGATTGCGAAACGGTCAGGGTCAAATTTATCCTCCGTATATCAAAGTGAGATACAAGACTATCAAGCTGAATGATGATATCTTAAAGAGGGACCCAACTGTGCGAGTTTCTTTCAGTGTCAACTATGAAATGGACACTTCTTCAATCTCGCAAGATGTCAAGGTAACCTGACCAAATTGCTCTACAAAACTAAGAACTCCAAGACCATGGCGATTAAAAGACCATTGCACAATGTAGTTTTGCCCATATTGTTCACACTACAGTCTTGTCAAAAACATTAAATAATATTGTTAAAACTAAATCAGGTGTAACAATATTGTATTTTTGCACAAGTAAATATAACAAATCCTACATTCTGATTGGTCAAATTTGACGTAAAATGCTGTTATATTAACCTTCAGGTGAATATAAAAAATTTCAAAATGGCAACTGGCCGTTTTGTGGATGTTTCTTACAAAGAGATAAACGAACAAATGAAGTTCTTGTGTCAATTCACTTGTGCAAAAATACTAAAACAATTGTTCGCTTTAGGCTCAGTGGTTATCAGGGAATTTCCTGATAGTCACCTTGTCTTCGGCGAATAATTGTTAAATGTTTATAACAACTCTGAACAATATGGGCAATACAACATTATTCAAACCTGTTCATATCAATATCACAATTACAACCTGAGAACTTTAGCCAGCCTGCGTGTAAGAGGGCATCTGCTTGAAAAATCAGTGTTTCCCCCATCTTGAGAAAATCTACATCCCACTGTAACTATTTGCACTCACCCTTCCATCAGAATGATAGCTATGACAGCCTTCAGACCATATCAAGTACATAACAATTTCCTCTCTCTCCTCCCCAGACTGCTGCAGGAGTATTGTCAGGCTTCGGGATTATATACGGCCTCATTCTCGTGTACAGTTGGCGCCGACGCAAAGGTATAGAAGTTATCGACCTTCCCACAATGCTTCACTTCGTCGCCTTCGCCCTAGGCTCCCTCGCGACCATGTATTTCTGGGTCCTTTTCGGCCTCGCCAGCCTTTGGTTGATCTTCTTCAAAGAACAAGACATCGTGTATCGCCTTCTTCCAACTTCAGAGCAAGAAAACATATTCCGAAACCTGCTCATCATCGCGTTCGTATTCAAATTTATCGATTTGGTTCACGTGATCTCGTCCCAAACCAGCATCGATGTTTTCTTCGTGGACTGGGAACGACCACGCCCCTTGCCCCGTTCCACCAACCAAGGGGTGGACGCTAAAGCCCCTGTTAGCGTGTGGAGAACACTCTTCATCGGAAACGAATGGAACGAACTTCAGACGCTGCGCAAAATTAGTCCAGAAATACAAATCGGTCTGGTGCTCTTCTTTCTCAAGGCGGTTGGGTTCGAGCACCTTTGCACTACAGATCCCGTGCGCAGATATTCGGTTGACTACACCACAGATTACGTGGGCGAACAAAGCCATCTTCTACGATTTGCAGTGGCTGTGCTTCTTTACATGTCGATAGCGTTTGTCCAATGGATTTTCTTTTCTTTCATATACGAACGCTTCCTGGGCGACCCGTTTGGGGATTTCACTGATCTGTGCTCGATGGCAAACGTAAGCGTGTTGATATTTCAGAATAAACTCTACGGCCACTATATTCACGGAAGATCTGTTCACGGGCGGTCCGATACGGACATGTTGGAAATGCACGAACAGTTTAAGCGTGAAGAGGACGATCTTTGCGGAAAACGCGGCCTCGAACCGAATTCCGACAGGCAGACGTTTGACGTGATGGTCACGAGGAAGTTCCGAGCGACATACGACCGCTTTTACGACCCGATCCGAACACAAACGCAGAATATCGAGAAATGCACCTCAGATCCAAGGTAAGCCATATTTCTTCCGATTGGCAAACTATGATAAAAAAATGCATTTTACAGAAATCAAACCTCAGTCACAGAGATGAAAGACACATGTACTAACCACTGTGTTTGGTAGAGTCAAACTAGAAGCATTCTTCTCACATGTGACTGAGGTGAAATTATAATCACACAACTGCATATTACAGGAATCAAACCTCAGTCACAGAGATGAAAGACATATGGACTAACTACTGTGTTTGGTAGAGTCAAACTAGAAGCACTCTTCTCACATGTGACTGAGGTGAAATTATATATTCTGATAAACAAAATTTACCTCACGCCAAACCAGATTTCACCCACATCAACCAATTCCATAACCATCCACCTGTAAATATTTCAGGTCACTCGGCTGGAGTTAATCTTTCCGTGGCTGTTCAGCAGACAATCGAGGCTTATTCTTCTGTGAATAGATTCCTTTCCGCCTTCATCGATCATTCGCTCCGAGAACACGATTACGCCGTAAAAAACAAACTACTTCTTGAAAGAATCTTTGATTTAGAACTTGGGGAACTACCTCAGGACAAGGCAGTGTTTTACAACGACGATGGTCGTTCGTTTACAAACGTCTTTTTCTTCGGTCACGAATGGACGTTGCTACTCTGGGAAGTCCTGTTCTTTGCTATCGTAGATTACGCCGCGTTGAACTTCGTTTTAGCTGGAGTGCTCACCTATCTTCAAAGTCGAATTGTAAAGTCGATCAGAGAGATTCTTGGGAAGAAGAATTTAGCGAAGAAAACTTTGGTCGATGAACGATTCTTGATATAAAATGATGCATTTAGTTCCGACAAAATTGGCTACAATAAAGTGGGTATATTTCTCAGGCATTCAACCAGAATTATGCAGCGAACTAACTTAAAACTTGCCCTTCGAAACAAAATCTTTCGAGATATACTTGACTATTTCATTTTTGCGTTTGTTGTGCTGTTTTAAGTTCTCTCTTTGAACAATTCATAACTGCACAAGAGTTTAGTAGAAGCTATCATCACTCCAAAAGGTCTAACCACACGATCAAATTTTATTGGATCAAACTCACTTCTGACGTATTGAATGTAGTCTGTTATTGATAAAGCAGCATTGCATTGATTTACGTGATTTGCTGCCCATGTACATTTCAAGTCAACACACTTTAAAACATGCATCAGAAGGGAATTAGACCCGACAAAATTGGGTCTAATTTTGACAAAATTTTACTCTATTATTTTTCAGTCCCTTTAAACACAATATACTTTTAAACAAGCCTTCAACGAAATTTAAACGAAATCCAGTCTTAAATTTTCGAACGGTTAAGCAATTCTAGAACTACTATTACAAAAGCAAGAACCACGTACCCTGTCTGTTTTAAACAGTATCTCTACGAGTTTAACACTGTATGTAATATGTATATAATATGTAAATAATTACCGACAAAAAGTTCAACGTTTTAGTTTTTTAGACATAATGTCATAATAACATATTTATGAACCATTTTGTTTGTTTTTTATACTTCAATTTACAATTTAATGCATCCAAACAGTTATCTGAGATCTTTAACAACGTATTGATTAAACCGCAAACAGAAAAATCCTCAAAAAACGCGCACATGCAAGGCTTATCTATGACAAAATCTATCATCCAATATATACACAGCATTCGCCATGTTTTTACCCGCGGTGCGCGATCGGGGGAATGGGTTCGTGTATGCGCATCTGCCTGATTACTGGTGACGTGTTACCTATGACGTCAGACACTGAGATAGTCTGTCTTTTTGCCAGCGATCCAACAGGCTGTAGATTGAGAATGTCTGTCGGGGATTTTTGACGACCAGCTGGGATCTAAAACAAAAATACATCGCTATGATTCCGTCGTGTCTTTCTTAGAGCCTGCCGTCCAGTAAAGGACACAACTTTCGGCTGGCTACAACGGTTATCAGGAGACTTTTATGTCGTGTACTTTGGCGGAAAAAGTGGAAAACGTTCAAAGCAAAAACGTTTCGTTTTATGTCGTGTATTTTGGCGGGAAAAGTTGAAAAAGTTCAAAGCAAAAAAGTTTCGTTTTATGTCGTGTATTTTGGCGGGAAAACGTTCAAAGTATAAAAACTTTTCGGCGTCTCACTTAAAGTTCCTGTATTTTACCTTAGATTATGGTGTGAACTAAGTCTTGAACAGTATTTTGCGGTTGTAAAACCCAAACAAGCTTTAATGTCGCCAACCTACCGTTTTGGGACCTTTACGCACAATGTCGCCTTCTCGAACAATCACACCGGCTGAGATTTCCATGGAGTCCGACTGGGGGAATAGAAAAAGATTGATTAAGGTCTCTTATACATGAAAGACACATGGACTAACCACTGTGTTTGGTAGAGTCAAACTGGAAGCAATCTTCTCACATGTGACTAAGGTGAAATTATAATCAGACAACTGCATATTACAGAAATAAAACCTCAGTCTCAGAGATGAAAGACACAAGTACTAACCACTGTGTTTGGTAGAGTCAAACTGGAAGCACTCTTCTCAGATGTGACTGAGGTGAAATTATAATCACACAACTGCATATTACCGGAATCAAACCTCAGTCACAGAGATGAAAGACACATGTCCTAATCAATCTTCGAAGCAATCTTCTCACATGTGACTGAGGTGAAATTATAATCAGACAACTGCATATTACAGAAATCAAAATTCCAGGTCATATTCAATGCGTAATATCACGTGTGTACCAGGCTCTTACCAATGGCGGGGGTAATGGCTTAACAACCTCGCTGTCCTCAGTGATCTCCAGCGACATATTAGATTTCATCGAAGGACTTTTAAACGTCTGTATAACCTCTCTTTTTCTCCTCACATCTGCTAAACGCCCTTGTCTGCTCAAAGTTGCGTCTTTCTTCGTTCCTTTTCGACCTGGCTGTGTCGAAAGGGGGTGAATTGGGTCCGTCTGTGGATCCAGAATTCCGAAACGAGGCCGTATTCTAGAATAGAGAAAAAATCATTCCTGAAATCATTACTCTTAAATAACTCAGTCTATCAACATCGATGTCAAATCGACGTATCCACAGACGTACCTGTGTGTTGGTAGTTTATCCACACTAAACCTCATCATAGCCACAATGTTCCCCTGTTCATCATACGTCACTTCTTGTTCACCAGGAGGGGCTCTACTTGTTCGAATCTTAAAATCGGCAAAAAGGTTTTTTGAGAAAACGTTTTGAGAATGATAAACGTTTGATCTTATTTACCTGTTGAACTGGTTTCATTGAGCCGGTGTTCTCGACGGGGTCTGCCTGACTTGCGCGCTGTTCAACAACTTGTGTTTTCGACTTTTTTCTTTCTGATTGCGTTGTCTTTTTGGTAGTTTTTACAACGTGCTTCCGTCGACCAGGTGATACCACCTAAACCAAATGGGCAAGAATGAATGAAATATTTCATCCAGTGTCACTACAGGAGGAAACCTAAACTAAACAAACTTTATTTATACTGGATAGCTCTATCAGTTCTAAACTGTTCTTCCTAGAGGTCCAGTAAGGATCATCTCTTATTGATTCAGTGTTACTACAAGAGGAAACCTAAACTAAACTAACTTTATTTATCCTAGATAGCTCTATCAGTTTTAAACTGTTCTTCCTAGAGGTCCAGTAAGGATCATCACTTATTGATTCAGTGTTACTACAAGAGGAAACCTAAGCTAAACTAACTTTATTTATACTGGATAGCTCTATCAGTTCTAAACTGTTCTTCCTAGAGGTCCAGTAAGGATCATCTCTTATTGATCCAGTGTTACTACAGGAGGAAACCTAAACTAAACTAACTTTATTTATACTGGATAGGTCTATCAGTTCTAAACTGTTCTTCCTAGAGGTCAAGAAAGAATCATCTCTTATTGATCCAGTTCTACTACAGAAGGAAACCTAAACTAAACTAAGTATATCTATAATGGATTGTTCAGCTACTGTACAAAATAACATACCCTAGAAGTAGGTGGAGGCGAGGGAACAACTTCCAAGGGAGGGGGGATTTCTGTTTCACAACTCTCTTGTGTTGTTTCATTTCGTTCCGCCTCAGGTTCAACTTCATTTCGATCTTCATAACTTTCTACACCCTCGCTTCTAAATCAAGGACATTAAGATGACTGAATATCGTTCAATATTTGCATGGAGCTTGCTTCGAAAAGTATCAAATGTTTGATACACACGGCCACACGCACAGTTAGTATTAGCCAGGCATTCTAGATTAAGGTTTGGATGATCGCAAGGTTTGGATTATCTCAAGGTTAGGATTATCCGAAAATTTGGATTATCCCAGAGCCTTCGTTTCCTCGCCTTGAGTTTTTTTTTGCAACAAACCTTGGTGAGTTCTCCAGAGAGTTAGACTCGGAGCAGCTCCGGGTGAGAGTCCTGGATTCACATCTTGCTGACAATGGTCTGGACTGACAACGCTGGACTGGAACCGAGCCTTGTGACCAGGAATCCGTGACGCACGGTATTGGCTCTAAATAGATGAAAAGAATAAATTTGGGCAGTCTTTACATCGGAGACAGAGCTAGACTCTCGTATTCGTATGAGCCGCATCGATGTGCAGAACGAACATGAGTTCCACTTTGATATTTGAGTACTTCGAATCGAGTTTGAATTGTCTCCAGCAGAGACTGTTATCGAGATTCAAATCTCGAAAGGCCTTCTCAAAACTTCGTACAGTTTCAATCTTTTTCAGCATAAGCTCTAGTTCATATTCATTCAAGACCTTAGCGAACCTGAATTATGCCAGATATATTTAAAAAGCACATCGTATGTTTAAAAGCGTAGAAATTCAAAAGACAAAACATACGGTAGCATTTGTTCAAAACAATATTGCTAGTGGTGAAATAGTAAAAATACTGTAGAGAACTTTAATTTTCATATATCTCACCTTCATCTTCAAGCCACGTTACATCGTTAGCAGGAGACACTTCCCCCAGATCATGTTCGAGGAATCTCGACTGAAACACAAAAAGAAAACCAAACATTACGGCCGGTTCTTGCGACGATTTCGGGTGCTATGATATCTTCTTTCGAGTAATGTGAACGAGGGAATTAGCGTTAACGAGTCACCTGTTCATATGGGAATAATTCGTGACTTACACACTCTTGAAAACTACATGAACAATACCACATCGACAAAATTTATGAGCAAAACTACGTCAACAAAACTACATCAACAAAACTTCATCAACAAAACTACATCAACAAAACTACATCAACAAAACTACATCAACAAAACTACATCAACAAAACTACATCAACAAAACTACATCAACAAAACTACATCAACAAAACTACATCAACAAAACTACATCAACAAAACTACATCAACAAAACTACATCATTGCGTCTCCTTAAGAGAATACATCAGTGTCCCCCTTTTCACTCCGGTAAACCGGTGCACGTCTTTAAAAAAACGGACTCATGCTGTAGTATTTTTTAGAGCAGTCTATCTTTCGTCAGACGATAACTCCAAATAGCCTGCGAATAACAGAAATCTATTTATACGCTTATTTAACAATGGGGGAAACATAGGGCTGCTTTCCAGTTACGCGTTTTCCAAACGCACGAAGACGCACGTAAAAGTCAAAATCCTTATAGATATCATCTTTGAAAACACTAAATAAATCGAAAGAACTTAGTTTTCCGCATATTTTAGTACGCACTTGTCGACTTGCAGATGTTAAATGATAAAAATTTAGGAGCATCTAAACGTGCGTATAAAAACGCGTAAGTGGAAAGCAGCCCACAGATTCTGGGATATTCGCAGGCTAGGCTTCAAATGAATGTCTGAAAAAATTGATATTTTTCGATATCATAAAACGTTCTAGCAGGCCCGAGTTACGTCATAAATAATGGGGTTTAAATTGTTTTTTCTTTAATAAGAACGTCCTTTTTTCGCAGCAGCTGTGACAAGCCGGTTGAAAACTAATATTTTTATAATTGAAGTGGTCACGCGTCACAGGAGACTTCACAGCTACAGTCAGACTGCAATTACATATAAACTGCTGCGGTTTGCGTCTGCGAGTTCATTTCAACGGCAAAAAAGGCAAAAATATGATCGCTGTTTTCATCAATATCGTTTTTCTGTGCATCTTGAACGTCTCGTTGGGATTTGTCGGAACGATAAGCAACTTTGTGGTTGTATCCAGCATTTGGAAGTCGGCTCAGATGCGGAGAAAGACGTGTTACTTCATGATTCTCGTGTTATCGTGCTTTGATTTGAGCGTTATTTTGATAAGCCATCCTCTGGTTATAGCGCTAGCGATTGCAGTGGCGTTTGGCGACGTTGATAAAGAAACGATCGACTTCTGTTTGGGCTGGAGTCACCTTTTGCTGGCGTTCTCATCGCTCGCTCTGTTGACCATGAGCATAGATCGATATCTGGCCGTAGCTCATCCGATTTTTCACAGAAACAAAGTTACTCGCGTTAAACTGATGCTCTTGCTCGCATCTTTCCAGCTATTCGCGTTTGTGTTGCGAATTCTTTCTATGAATGGCGTCGAAGTGAAACTTTGTTTTATCATTCTCCTGGCCGTTTTTTCGCCGTTGATGTTGTTCACGAACCTCAAATTGTTCATAGTGCACGAAAGATGCAACGGAGCATCCCGCAAACGGGGAAAAGCGACGAGCCGATTTGAAGAAGATCTCCTCGTGCCTTTTAGCCGTGGTTTGTTTTTTATTTTTGTCGGTCATACCCGGGGCGATTTTCACGAGTATGATGCCATTGTGGGACGTAGGATTGACGGAAAAACAAGCTATCATGCTGTGGCTCTGGTTTAGGACGGTAATTTGCATGAACTCGACTTTAAATTGCTTCGTATTTTATTGGAACAACGGTATTCTGCGCGACCGGGGAAAAAGGGTGCTTCGGCGGTATCTTAGGCTTGAATTATGATTCGTGAACAGTCATGATAGATCAGAAACAATGGTATATACATCTGGGGCCGGTTGTTCAAAAGGCGTTTAGCTTAAAAGGTGGATAAGTCAAAATTAAATAACACTCTTACAACTCTCTTGAATGAGTCAACTTGAATATTATGCACTGAATATGTAGTTGTAAACAGTAGCTTTGTATTAAGGTCAAAACCCCTTTTGTTCGCTTGTTGAATAAAACGGCAAACTCGCTTTCTATTTTGAACTTATCCACCGGAAGCTAAACGGGCTTGATACAACCGGCCCCAGGAGGACATAAACTCTAGTTCATAATCATTTGGAAATATAGCGAACTAAAATAGCAATAAATATTAAAAACATTGTATATATTGTACGAAAAAAAGTGATTCAAAATGATTACATTAGACTTTACTCCAGTTTGCATTTCATGAAAGTTGGCTACCACGTTATCGTTCCAGTTTATATATAGAGTTCACATGCAGTTTTTACAGGGGGGGGTCAATATGGGATATAATTTCTAGCCATACAATTATAATTAAGAGCCTAGAATCTATATTATATCCTACAGAACAGTGTGACCATATATATGTATATATGCAATTTTTTAACTAAAGTTGCTCAAATCTAGTTTGACTGCCCCCCCTGGTCTGGATGTGCAATTGTTAAAATCTGGTGGTGCTGGATGTGATGCTAATTGAAATTCAGGGGCCAATTCAGAATTTTTGCTCATTGATGTTGGCCCAACCTTAACAAGATGTTCTAGCACTGCACTGCCATCGGGCTAGAGCACTGCACTGGCATCGCGCATAAGTGTAGGTTCGATTCCTGCCGAAGAACCAATAGTTGACTAATTTTTCTTAACTGTTCCTGGCTTGAATTGAGTTGTGCATGAATGATTCCACTCGAAATTAAAACCCTTTAAAAAACCCCTTTAGAATTTACCTACATCGAGCTAAGTGCTACAAAATCGTAATTGATTTACCAATCTCACAACTAGGTCGAATATGCAATATTCTGGTATACTCAACCTCACCGAGGTTGAATATTTTTTTTGCCATATTCCGGTATACTCAGCCTTTCCAAGTTTGAATATGCCATATTCTGGTATCAACCTCACAAAGGTTGAACATACCATATTCTAGTTTATTAGACCATACCAAGGTCGAATATTTCATATTCCAATATATTAACCATATACCAAGGTGAAATATACAACATTCCGGTATATTCGACCTTCACTACTTTTTGATGAAATTCTTTTATGAAATTTGTTTGCGAAATTTTGACTGATGCATTATGATTGGACACAGTACCTCTATGATTTGTAAGAGAAGGTCTTTAGCAGCATGAACTGAATATGGCTGGAGTTGACTTTGGATATATTTATCATGGATGACTTGCACCGTACAGTCAAGTATTTCATCAAGGAGATCCAGGATAAAATCCTGACTGCTTTCCTCCTCGACCATAGAATTCCTGTGGGCAAATAACATCAACATTGATTAATCATTTTCTATTATTTAAACAAACAGCTTCAAAGCTGTTCATACTTCATAATAATAATCGCTAGCAGTTATATGAAAGTTTGATTGATAGAAAATCTAATATACAGTCCTTACCATTGGTTTTCGTTGAATTTTCCTGGAATAATATCGTTCGTTGTGGTCACTGGAGGTGGTTGAGACGGAGGTTTCTTCTCATTTCTAAACTTGCTCATGACAAAACAATTTCAATTTTTTTACGTAAAATATCGCTTCTTTTTTGCCAAAACGCCACAACGTTATCCTAGTATTCTCTGCGACCGCATCCAAACGCCCTTCAGTTGAAATACGTAGAAAAAACACTAAAATAACAACTTTTCTCTTCAAATATATTATTATTCCTACACTTTTCCAAAATCCAACATGGCGCTGTTGCCATGGTTATGGTAACATAGCGACATATATCCCGGTGATGCAAAGCACGCTTGTTTCAAAAACAGTTTCCAAAAAGAAGCGCATTTCGGGGGCTAAATTTCATTATTTTTCACTTTTCGCGTGTAAAATTTCCTAATTATTTAGCTTGATTTTTATCCTTTAAAATGCCTCAGTGTTTAATAATACCAGTGAATAATATACATATTATAATTATTTAATATTGTAATACCAATTGTACGATTCTATTATAGCAGTACACTATATACATATTAATTAATTCATTCATTAGATACCGTCTTAACAGATGTTTATAGATACTTGTAAATCAAGTTGATATTTTGGGCTTTGGACTTGTCAACGTATTATGTTTTTACTTTTATCACGTCAAAAATACAAAATGTTTTGAAAGAGTATATTGTCGCTATTTCCTCAGCTACTTCCGCCAGATGAATAGACTAAAATATTGTTCTTGTAAATACTAAAAATATTGCCTCTATTCATTAAAATATTACCCGCGAGTTGTAGATCAGAAATTTCATGCTTTGTCCAGCTAACACGTTGATTGGTTGGATCACTATAAGCGAATATTTACTGCCACCCTATTGGTCAATCTCGTATTACAAAAGACTATAATGACGAATACAATATCGTTTGATTTTGCATTATTTCATAATAATAATCGTAGTTATTATGGCTCGTTTATATCCAAGTGTCGCCTTTAATATTGCTTTTAAATGTGAGAGATAAGTTGATATGAGAGAAAAACCCGTGCCTGTACGAGTTGGCAAGGGTTTGCTTTCAGAAACGTCCATGGAGACCGTCAAGGAAGAAGCGAATAACTTTGAAAAAGAAACTAGGAAAAACACAGACGAAGATACCGTTTTGAAAGAGCTACCATCAATGGTCTCGGTTGTACCCATGGACAGCCCAAACGAATCTCCCTCAAAATATGACACCCGTCTGTACCAAACGGCCATGGGGTGTCGACCAAGTTTGGATATTCCAGGCGAATTCGAGTTTTTAAACAGCGGCTCTGTTTCCGAGAGTCAGAAACAGGCGGTGAAGTTTGGCGTACGTGTTTTCAGAGGTAAGAATATAAATTAAACTTATTTGTATGATTATGTAAGAATGCATACCTTAAACTATTGGCCTTCGTGCCAAATAAATCTCCAAGAACATTGTGCATCTGTTGATGTGACACAATCCTGAAGAGTGAAGATCTAGGAGACTTTCTAAGTTCCAACAATATTTTATTGTTTTTGTTGACTCTGACGAGAATTTTTCCAGTTTCTCCCTTCATTCCCTACGTAAATTGTATTCACGGGTAATATATGATATATAACCCGCGGTTCATCAAAGAAAACAGGCAACTCAATCGTGAACTAATAAGCGTTATTAAGTCGTTTTAACGTGTCAATTCTTAAATCCAAATTTTCAACCTTTTTACAAAGTAAACACAAGGTAAATTCGCTATCAAACACAGGAAACAAGCTGGCACAAGGCAAATCAATGGCCTTTTTTTAATTTGGGAGACATGAGAAACTAGTTCAAGATCAGAGTGGTTTTTCTTTGAAAAGCCGCTAGTGTGATATCACACACATTACCGTAATGCAAGTTTGTTTGAAATTCAGATGGAAAACTTGATAATTTAGTCCAAGTCGACAAAATGTATAAATGATTTCAAGAAAATGCCCTCCACGGAACATCTTAAAAACCTGATACATTGTCTAGAGCCACATTTTTTAACGTGCAAATTTCTGCCATATTTCCTTGCAACATATTTGAAATCATGATATACAAGTGATAAGTGCAGATATAGACGAACTTTGCAATATATTATATAAAGCTTCAAGGACCGGCGTATACACTTAAAGCCGGCTGGGTATTAAATCAAACTTATCCTATGATTAAAAACGTTTTCAAGAATTGTTTTCCGGTTTGGACGGAAAATTCTCGCGTTATTCTTGTCAATTGACACCTATCATAAAATTGTAACTTGTAAGGGGATGTTTGTAATCTACTTCGCCGGGATTTATTAAAAACCGCTGTTAATCCACGACCAAAACGGTTTTCTTTGACCTGCGCCGCGACTTCAATATGTCCCACAGACACATACAATCCATTCATACATATTAGGCGAAAAATTGTGGAAAAAACTCAAGGTCCTTAGAAAAAAATTGTAGGTAAACAATGAAATATTGTTAGGAACGTTACTTGTAGTATTTTAAAAAACGTTTTTCCGACAAAGGATTTTTTCATCCCATACACGGAATTTCAGATGTAGCAAAAGTAAATTCCTGCTGTAATTACTGTCTGTGTTTTGTTACTACACCGCGACTTAAAATGCGAGTTTTTCAGATTGGCTGCACAAGCAAGGTGTGCAATTTCAGTCTCTGGAGGACATGTCAAGGACGGAAATAGCAAGCGCTCTTGAGCAGTTCTACAGGACGGCTAGACGACCAAACGGTACCCAATATAAGAAAAATACGCTAAAATCCATCAAACATTCCTTGGATCACTATCTTCGCTCCTCGCCTTTCAAGAAGGATTTCTCGATCTCAACAGACTACGATTTTCGTCAGGTATAGAAATTCACCCGAATATTTATATTATATACTGTGCACAGAATGTTTCTCGGCTAAAACTGCCGGTCGGGTAAAATACCTTTGCCATCGATATGTGTGTCGTCTTATACCCTTCGTATATCGCCTCAAGGCTCAAGGCTCGTTCCCATTTGCAATTTCCTTACGATTTTAGGGGTGAGTTTTTTTACCATATCATGAGTATTGTATCCACTGGTTCACATCTGGAAAAAAAAGAAAATATGACATCTTTGCTTTGAAAACTCAATTTTCACAATCTCCAAAGCACCCTATCCGTTTTCAAACACAAAGTAAACATTGATATTGTTTGTTTTTGGTTCATGAAGTATTAATCAGAATCATTGTGATCGCAGGTCAACAAAACGCTGGACAACCTGCCCGAAGACGCAGATCAAAACCGCTTCCCACAGTTCACCAAGGAGACCATCCTGAAGCTGTACAAGGGAGGGCAGCTGGGACTCACAACGACGGACAACCCGAGCGTGATAATCCAGACAGTGTGGTTCTACATCGTGGCCTACTTCTTCACAAGCATCGACAAACGTATGCTTCGAGAACTCAAGGAATCGAACCTCATTTTAGAGAAAGACGAAGATGGACGTGAATACTTCTGGCTGGATTACAAACCTCCCGAAAGGATTCGCGGTGAGGTCCACAAATCTCGGATATACGCAAGACCAGGTTCCCTATGTTGTCCCATAGCTATCATCAAGAAGTACATGGAGCATCGCAATCCTCGTAACGATGTTCTGTTTCAACATCCTAAGAAGATCAACCATCTTGTTTGGTATTCCCCCCTGCCTTTGGGCAAGAACAAGCATACGGATCTCATGAAATCGATGTGTCTGAATGCTGGCGTCGATCCGCCTCTGACCGGGCGCTGCATTCGAAGATACGTTCAGGAGTTGTTGCAAGATTGCGATGAAGCTGTGAATGATATGTTTCAACACGTGGATTCGCCTCCTACTGGTGTTGCAATGCACGGCACCCTCGTGCCAAAGATGCCCCCCATGGGTGGCGGGGAGTCCGCGTTGGGACCCCCGTTTGTCCTAAGCGTTCCCCGGTTACCATTGCATACGTCGGGTACCGCCGTTCAGGGGAACCACGTAAACATACACCCGCACGCCACCATCAGTATGTCCAGTAGCTACATCACCAATCACGTGGCCACCATGGTTGCTAACCAACACGTTGGTAACACGAGCAACCGCGGTGCAACTCGAGATAACCATGTTACCACCACGCCCCAACATGACGGACATTCAACGATTCACGGTAACCACATCACAACCGACCCTTCGAACGTATCATCAATCAGTACATTTGCGAGCTTTCCAAATGGGATATTGCTACCATATCCGAACGCGTTCTCAAACCTCAACGACTTCGCCAAACCAAGAAGATCGTTGGAAGAGGATGAGACAAGTACTTCGGTGTATGGTAAGAAAGAATCATCCCGCGAAATGGGTTGTTATCGAAATGGTAGCCAAGCGTTGATCACGGCGCATCGTGGTACATCACCTTTATATAACGAGTCGAGTAACCATCAAGACAATGTTGGTTATGTTGTCAACGGCAATGGTACCACCACCGGCAGCCCGTCGCCTGTGACCGCTGGTGAAGATACCATACCCGAGGAGACGCTCTTGATGGAACGATGCACAACAATGGAAATTTCGACGCAAACAGACCCGGGCAACAGGCAATGGTTAGAGTCCACCTACCATAAAGCCGACTTGAAAACCAGAAATAGAATGAGATTACAAGCAAGGAAATCACTGCTGTGTTTCCTGGAAGAACTCAACGAGATATCTGACGGTCATGGAACGGAATTATTCTACGAAATTGTCCAAGAAGACACGGACATGTGGAAATCCATTACCAAACCACATAACTCAACAAAGAAATTTTTGTGATTATACTTGTACTGTAGATTCAAAAATGATCAAAACTTGACTATGTTTAATTAAATTAATGTTTAAATTTTTTCAAATGCACTCTGAAGTGAAATTGACATAATTGGCAATTGGATTGGACATGTGTAGTTCGGGTGTATATAATGTAAGTATATTTTGTATATTTAAAATTTTTGTAAAATTCCGAAGTATTTATAATGTTAAGGTTTGAATTAGTTTGAATGAAAATTAATATTTGAATTACTATCTGCTGAAGTGCTGAATTTTATTCAAGTATATTAAAGATGGTATTTTTATAAAGTTTGGGATTGAATTAAGATTAATCACGTCTTGGGATTTGATAAGTTTGATCACGACCTAAGACTTAGTTTAATCAAGTCCTTGGATTAGATGAAGTTGGATGAGGTACTACAGGACTAGATCAAGACTTTTGATCAAACATTACGATTAGAAAAGTTTGATCAAAC